CACACTCCGCCCAACTCCAGATTGCTGTGCGTGTGACGACAGCGAAGTCAATCATGGCGTTTCGATACAAACTTGCGTGCCCACGCGAGTCCAACTGTCCGTTTCGTGTAGTAGATGCGGTATCCGTTGATCGAGAGTGTTGAATAATCGTCCAGAAGCCCACACGAGGCACTCACTCATATCTAGCCAGGGACTGGTCGTACAGGTCCGCCTCTCTCTTCTCGTTTGCGAAGAACCTCACAGACTCGGCGTTTATGACGGAATCCAATAGACGAGCATTTGCTTCATTTTCGGCCATCTAATTGGGCAATACCAATCGTCGCTCAACTCCTATCAGCGACACTCACGTTCATCTTCCGGCGATACTCATTCCGCTTCGTGGTATAGTGACTGAGAGGACGCATCGACTGACTACGGGGGAGGCATACGGACGATTACGTTGTGAATCCAACATAGGCGGCCATGGTCGCTGTAGTGATCAAAGCTGCTGGTATTCCAGCATGGGTGGCGAGAATCTGAAGAAGACATGTCCAGCAGGCCACCACTATCGAGGACCTGTACTCACCCATAGCACCAGGGAGAACTCGAGAGCTGTTGGTATCATCTGAAAGAACAATCATGCAGACATCCCGAGGAAGGTCGGACAGAACTCCCCACATTGAATAGCATCATATTCAGCATGCTCGTTACGGACCGCAATGATCTCGATATGATGGCCTGGACCTCCCCACTGCGGGAACCGATGAGGAAGCTAACATCTAGAGTGTGGACGTGCTCGAAAGCTTTCCGTGCTATGCCTGCAGGGACAAGTACACGGGAGAGACTCCTAAAAAAGCTACTTACGTCGACACGCATCCTGAGATACATTGGCGAAAATGATCCCACGCAGCTCAGTGAAAGCCGACTGGCAGATTTTGGCCAGGACGAACGATGAGAGCAGCAACAGAGGGGTAGTCACAGCTGTGACCGGCACGGACAAAGAGTTGATCAGCGCCTGAGGAATTGAAACTCTATTGTGAAGGACCGAGGGATGGGCGGATCCCCATGTAATCGCATAGTGTTTACCCCCAATTGTATCGGTGCTTGTATTGTCGCTAACTTGGCCAACACTATGCACGCAGCTGAGCTCAATACTCTTAGCCGGAAG